TATATATATATATATATATATATATATGCACATTACATACTTGTATGCGTTTCCTCCGTTTACGCACCTCAGGCACGTTTCAGTTAGAGCTCAAATTTACGAACGATTACCCGAATAAGCCGCCACACGTCCGATTCCTCTCGAGGCTTTTCCATCCTAACGGTGAGAAGACCTTTCTAGCATAAACACAGAAGTTGTGGACACTAATTACTTCAATACTTAATACGTACATATTAAAAGGCAAGTCTGAAGGTAGAGGACTGCAGAATTTTCTGGCATAGGGAGTCGTGAAATGAGGCCTCGCAGGCCGGTAAGTATGTGAGGACGGGGCCCAATGAACTGCTGTCATTTGCATGAGAAAGTGTGAAAGTCTACCGTGTATGTATGTGCTTGATTTCTCCGCTGTTTGTCTTTGCAGTGTACAATGACGGGAACATCTGCCTTGACATCTTGCAGTCTCAGTGGAGTCCGATATATGATATTTCTGCCATTCTCACCTCTATACAGGTACGTCCTCCATTGATTTTGCAGCAGCTGCTGGGGAAATAGGCGCTGCGGTCCCTCAGGATTGCAGTCAAAGCCGCTGCAGCTTTTGCTGTTGTTAAGCTGCTGCTGCTCTTGGGGGTGCGGCAGGGGACAGGTTGCTTTCCTCCAGTTGTCATGTTGTACAACTGTGTGCTATTCTTAATTCTGCATCTTCACTCCTCGGTGTTCACGCCCCGGATTTTGTGTTGTGTGTCCTCAACTTCGTGTGGTTTGTTGGGGAGCGTGGTGCGTGGTGTGGCTGCAGTCTCTGCTAAGCGACCCAAACCCAAGCAGCCCGGCAAATCAGGAGGCTGCTCGTTTGTACGCGGAAAATCGGCGGGAGTACAACCGCCGAGTGCAGCTATGTGCCACCGAATCTTTGAAGACTGTAGGGGCACCTGAGGCCGAGGCCCCTGGCGCCGCTGCTAGCGCCTCAGCAGGTCCCCCTTCTGGAGACCCCACCAGCACCACACCTGCTCAAGAGTCCACCCCCGAGGGGATCGCGACACGGGACAGAGACGCCCCAGTAGCAGTGCAGCGAGAGCAGCAAATCGATGGCGGGTCGGAGCAACAACATTTGGGAGAGGGGCGACAAGGGCCCCCTGGAGCCCCGTAGCGGCAGGCCCCCGGTGAACAACCCCTCTCGTATGTGTTCAGTAGTTAGGAAACTGGGCTGTGGTGTGCCGTTATGGACACTAAGCAACACTTGGTTTGCAGCCTGGGAGCAGCAGCGGTCGTCGGGCTATCTTAAGCCCCAACCGACCTACAGCCATTCCCGGGAGTGATAGGGTTCGACTAGCCTATCAGGTCGCCCCAGAAAGCAGCAGCTGCAGCAACAGAAACAGCAGGTGCCAGGACTTTGGCTATTCGAGGAGACGGGGTGTTTCTAAGTTTTTGGATGCGCAAGCCGAAATGGCCAGGGCCCGTCCCTCCCGCAGTTTGAGGGGCAGGAGGACTAGAGCGGGGTGTACACGGGACCCGCCGAGGCCCCCCCCCCAAAGTAAGCAAGGGCGAGGGAGGGAGGAGGGAGCGCCCCTACGGAAGCCGCTTAGGTTTTGGCTGCTTTAGGCACACTGACACGGCAGCAGCTTCCTCCAAGGATCGACCAGAGGTCCTAAACCCTTCCCATGGGTTTTCCATTAACCCTCAGATACAGTAGGAACAACTCAGCGTTTCGCGGTCCCTCCGTGACCTCCGCCCCCCTCAGGGCATCTGAGAGCATTTTTTAACGGACGGCATCTTCTGTTCTTTAGTCTCAATTGTAGCACGTGACTGTCTTCCCAGTGAAGCGTCCAATTTACGAAACCCGAAACACCACCATCCCCGGCCATAGGCCCTAAGCAGGCGGCGTAGTAGCGGTGGCCCTGTCAGCGTGAACCTTCCGAGCCGCCTGCACCGCTGTGTTCATCTCCTCTCTGTGTCAAAGAGACACACAGGAAGCAGGCACAAAGAGACTATAAATGAATCGTAGCGGAGACCAATCACGTGTCTTGCGACGACCAGAGGAAAACGGCACTGCCTCAGAGCATTCACGATTCTTGATTCACGATTCTTGCATGAGCTGTGAGAAGCCTCCCCACAGCACACATATCTCCTCCGCTTAGTTACTATCTGGAGTTAGTGCCACCTGCCTAATGCGGGGGGAGGGCTAACGCTATTTCTGGCTCGGTGTGTATTCGTCCGTGTTTTTGTCTGCTTGCTACTGTTGTTTGCTAGTGTGGTTATCCGTTTATTCGCGTGCAGTTTATTAGTGTCTCCCTGGTGGCTATTTATACTGACATTTTTGTGTGGTTTCCCAGTGTGTAGATTTTTTTCTGCCGTTGTGCGTGTTCGTTTGGGTCTTTGCGGTGTCTTTCTGCGCTTGTGTACCTTGGTGTAGTGTCCACATGTGTTTGCTGGTGTCTTTGTACGTTGGCTTGCGTTCTCGTCTAGTTGTCTGCGTAGGTGTCCAGTTCTGCATCGGTCTCTCTATTTGTCTCTGTGGTATTTGCGCATCTGTGTATATGCATCGCTGCGTCTGCTTGCTTTTTCTGTGTTCGTCTGTTTTGGGCATCTCGGAGGTTGTTTGGCCTGGTCATCCCGCTGTATGCTGTGAACATGTTTGTTTACTTGCGTGCTGCTTGTTATTTGTGCCTGTCCATCTGTGACTTTGTTTGTGCCTGTGTGTTATTCGTGCATGTCTCTGTCTGTCTGGAAACTGTGTGCACACCTGTCTGATTACTTCCCAGTGACCACGGGTACTCGGCTTCCGTCTGTGGCGCACCGTGTGTGATGCGCTCCTGTGCTTGTGTTATTTTGCTTGGCTGGAGCTGTGTTTTGCCCACTTGCGCACACGCGTGGAGAAAAGGCGTACGCAGTCACCCGGAAGTGGGGTTTCAGCCTACCGAATCTGGCTATTTGTCGGGTCTAGGCGGAGCGCTTCCCACAACTGGGCGACGTACTCCTCCGTCGCGCCGCCAAGGCGGCGCGCCCTCGCCAGGCGATACTGTGCTTTGCTCCATTCGGGACGCAGCTGCACCGCCTGCGCGCAGCCGCACCACTGCGCCACGAACACCGCTCCTTACGCCAGCTGTAAAAGCCCCCAAGCACTCCCCAAAACATCAAACGCAAGTACGCAAACCCATTAATACACGCATATACTTACCCACTTACTTGCTTACTTACTTACGGACACACACACACACACACACACACACACACACACATACACACACACATACACACACACACACACACACACACACACACACACACACACACATACACACACACACATGCACATACACAACCACACGGACCCCGCACAGTGCCCAGTGCACAGTTTCGGTGCTTAGTGCCTGTGGGTGTGGGCAAATACAGGATACGCGCATCATGACGCAACGCCCAGTTTGCCACACAAATCAATACCCAACAAGCAAGCCAACCTCCGCTAAGCCTCGGGGAATCAATTCCTACTGCCCTCGTCTCCATGCACCCTCTGCTTGCTGCCCCAACTGTGGGAGTCCCTCTCTGTGAGCATCTCATTCCTGGCTGCTTACCGCTTGCGCGTCCGCCAGGGCCCCCTGCGCGTCTTCAAGTTGTTCGTTAGTGAAACTTCGGTTCGAATAGAGGACCCCCAGAAGCTCCCGCGCCGCCTCCACCTTAGGGCATTCCTCAATTGCCTGCGGACACCCGCAATGGCCTCTCCGCCCCGACCCCTCAGGTGCCCCACAAACAACCCTGGAAACTTCACTCCCCCCAGAGGCCCCTCCAAACCCTTGCCGCTCCACCGGGGTCCTTCATGGGCCCCATGCCGTGGTCTGGGCCTGCGCCTAGCGGAAAGGCTGGCTGCGAAAACACAAGGAGAAATAGCTGCATCTAAGGGAGGCGGTGAGAAGCTGCTGACCTGGGTGTACTTGGCTTTGGCTGCGGCATAGTCCCTCATACAGAAGGCAGCATTCCCTGCCTCTTTCAACTTCTCGACCTTCGCTACTGCTTCACGCGGAGCCGGGGCCGAATGATTCAGACTTATAATAGGTAGGGGTGCCTCCATATCCCCATCAGCGGAATCATCAATCAAGCGTGTTTCTCCTACCCTTTCAGCTCCTGGTGCTGCTTGCCGCTGCTGCAGTCTCATCATACGAACGAACAGCAGTGGCTCCATGAACCGTACAGGATATTCCTCCACACGCTCCTCCCTTGCGGAGTGCTCTTTCACTGTCTCCTTGAGCCTGTTCTAACCCAGTGTGCCTCCCCCTTTGCCTCGTCGCCTACAAGTGTCCTTTGTGCTATGCCTCTCTTCCAATATACAAGCTCTCTGGCGATACAGCGGAGCTCTAAAGGTTCAGTGCAAGTTGGAATACAAATATATGATAAATACACAGTATATAAATATACTGTGTACATTATTATGCACACAGCTCCATGCGAAAACAAAGGGGGCACTAGACAAGCGCCTCTCGGTAGGCTGTGCAAAGCCTGCCTCCAGATGCCTGCACTCACTTTGGTAGAAGGCCTTTGAAAAGGAAACCCCGGCTGCTGGGGGCTAGGCCCCAGGGGCTCGAGCAGCTGCGCCACCGCCCTAGACTTGTGGCGCCTCGCCAGCTCGAGTGGAGTCGATCCATCCTATGCAAAACAATCGCAATGAACGCCACTCAGTCAACCAACAAGGCAAACCCACGCGAGGACCCAAATCTCTAGTCTAAGCCCTGACACCCAACCCTTAGCCCTTAATCCAGCGTGGCGTGCGTAGAGGTGCCTGGCCCCTTGACTAAGCGTACGGAAGCAGCAGTTTCCCAGTTAGCGCCAGCTTTAAGGAGTTGTTCTGCACACTCTACGCAGTCCGTTTCTGCTACACAGTGAAGTGCTGTGAAGCCTTCGGTGTCTGTGGCGTTGGCATCAGCCCCGTGCTGCAGCAGCAGCTGCAGGCAGTTGCAGTCGTTCTTCGAGGCTGCGAGGATCAAGGCTGGGGGGAAAGGGCTGCAACAGGAGGCGGAAGCACTCGAATCTTGCTCAGAATCGCGAGCGTGGCCTGAATCGGGAATTGATTTCGGGCCATTGTTGGGATCTGCGCCACGAGAGAGCAGAAGCTCAAGGATTTCCTGCTGCTGCGTCACCGTGGCGATCTGCAGAGGTGTGCCCATAGAGGAAACAGCGTTGGGCTGCGGAAGGCAGACAAAAGCAGGGGCGTCCACAAGCTGGGTTCAGCAGTTATCGTACAGGCAGACACCGATCTGACTGGGGGAATATCCACGTGTAAAAAGACTGAAGCAGTGGAGATAGAGACGGCAGGCCTGAGCTACAATTAGGGGGAGAATTAGCATGAGGCGAGAGGAGGGGACAACGCGACTGCAAACTGAGACAGAGATAGTGGATCAATCGAGTAGGCAAGACGCCAGTGACCTTGGCGGAGAGGGAACCCGAGACAAACAGAGAAGGAGGATACACGGAGTGAGAGGCAGATACAGAAGCAAGCACGTGGAGGCAGTGCCAGACGCGTGCGGCCACAGAGAATTAATGAGAGCGCATGACAGACTTGTAAACAACACCGAAAAACTTCGGGGTCAACCCACGTTTGCTCCTCTTTCGAGAAGAAGTTTAATGGCTGCTGCCTTCTGCGCGCAGATGGCCTCGTGCACAGCGGTGCTGCCGCCCTTGCTGCGCGCTGAAGCGTCACCTCCGCTGTGAAGCAGCAGCTGCAGCACATCCGTGTTGCCCAGAGAAGCAGCTGTAAAGAGAGGAGTTTTTCCATAGTTGTCTCGGGCCTTGGCAGCCGAGGGGCACAGGCGCAGTATCAACTCCACCACCTCAGAGGAACCCCCTAAAGCTGCAAAGTGAGCTACTGTACGCCCTTCACCATCACGGAAGCCTAGCAACAGATCGGGGTCCAAACCAAACTCCTCACACTTTGCTCCTTCTGCCTCTCTTGGACCAGTTGCTGCTGGGGTTTCTGCAGCAGCAGCAGCTGTATGTCTTGCTACTGGTGCATCTGCAGCATCTCCTGCCGGAGGGGATGCTGTTGCTTCTTCTCCTTGTAGAACTGTAGGTTCCGAACTCGCAGTTGCTGCTGCGTTGCGTTTGCCGTATCTCTGTGCAACTTTGCGTATAGCTCCGAGGAGTGCATCTTTGTTCCCGGTGGCTGCAGCTTCCATAAGGGAGGTAAGCAATGAGCGCTCTTCCATGAGAGCGGCGCCTTTGACTCCCTCAGAGACCTCAGTACATGCGCTGTTTGTTCTGAAGGCAGCGTCACCGTGGCCCTGGGGGCCTCGCTGGCCCTTTGCGGCTTTGGGAGCAGCCGTCATTGTGGGCAACCCCTGAGTCGAAGACCCTCAAAGTGAACACGAGGGATCTTCGTACTTGCAACCCTCGACGGACAACACACCAAAAAGATCAAGGACTCGGGAGATGACGTCAGCAATAGGACAACGGCACCCCAGTGACTTGTAATGCACTGGTGCCGACTGGGTCACTGAGGCTTAACAACCAAGGGCTAGCGTTGATACATCAAAGATACAGACTACAATGCAGATGAAACATATCCCTCATGATACCACAGGAGTTTTACTTCATTCCTGCCCCTTGTCCTTCTTGCGGGGCTACGGGGCCCCTCAGGGGCCCCTGAGCACGGGACTGGAGGCCCCCGCAGCAAGGCAGCGTCCAAATGTGTATCAGGGAAACCAGTCGTGCGTAGTGCTCCTTCTGCATACTTCCGTAAGAAATTCTTTTGGTTAGTGGGTTTCTCAGAGTCTCCGCAATTACCTGCTACCGGTAATGACCGACGCACAGGCGTTCCCCTTACCCGTATTGCTCTGTCTTTCCTGCTTTCACACCAAATGTCTTCAAACATCTGCCTTGTGTCTCCTAGTGGATTTTACATGAAAGCATCCGACTGCCGTAGTAAAGGGGTGCGCTCTTGCCGCTCTTGACATCGGCTTCGAACGGGGGCTACAGGGTATAGGGTTTGATTGTTGAAGCTTTCGTTACAGCGAAACCAAGTTTTTGTGTTGTACGGACCCTTTGGTATCGAGGCTCGGCTAGGGTCACCTTGTAGGCCCTTGTTTGGACCCGAAGGGCCCCGCGTGGGGCCCCAATTGGGCAGGCTGCTGCATGGCTAGGTCGAATTCAGCACGGCAATGACGTGTCGTGCTATTTGCGGGTTCGCACGGTTGGGAGCCCCACTGCACCAGTTGCATGTTTGCCAGGGTTTCACTCTTTCTGCCCCATGGGGGTGTCCGCAGCACAGGTTGAGGCTTCGACAAGGCCTCGGTGCCTTCAAGGAGGAGCGCTGCCGTCCGCCTAAAGAGATCATCTCCTGGGATTGGGGGCTGGAGTCCCCGGCGGGGACCCGTGTTTGCGCATCGCGAGGAGTCCCTACACCTGTGGCTGGGGTTCCATACGGGGTCTCCGCCTGGACTTTGAGGACGCCCTACACCTTGCTGCAACGGCGGTTTGTGGCGCGTGTCAAAGTACACCGGTTTGCAGGAGTAGTGCCTCTTAAAGTCCGCTCACCAAAGTCTGAGTGGTATATCCAGGCTGAGAAGGAGTTTCTGAGCGAAAGAGACCAAGTAAACCCTTAAGCCGTAGTGTCTTAGAGGGAAACTCTGCATGCTTTTCCCAAACACTAAATCTCAATCCATTCTTCGCAACTCACACCCCTACATGCTTTCCCCTAAAGTACCACTGGCTACTTTCTTGAACACCACATCTGCGCTGTCAGTTTGACCTGGAGCCGCCTGCAGGGGTCACACGGGCTGCAGGCGGCCCTTCTCATATGCTGAACTCCCAAAAGGGCTGTTTGCGGGACCCCGAGGAAAATGGATAGCGAGTTACATGCTGAATGTGGGAGGGTGTTGTGGGACCTCAGGTTCCGGAAGGTTACATCGAGCGGTGGCGGGAGGAGGACTTAGCAAGTCTCAATGCAGGATTAAGGAATTGTCTTTCTCTGCGTTGCGCTTCAAATAAACAACTGCACCAATGGAGGAAGCTGCAGTTGTGCAGACAGCTGCAGCGCCGGCCTTTCGATACCGGCAGCAGTGCCGTACAGAGTGCGTACGGGTGTACACGCACATGAACAGAATGCTCCGGCCCGTAACGCGCCGGCTGATAGTTCCTCACTTGGCAGACACACACACAATGTTTTCACAGGAGGAATTCTGGGTGCCAGGAGGCACGGCAGAGTACAGCGGATCGTACAGGTCATTCCATGCATCTTCGTGGGCATACACATTGCATGTCTAAAAAACACCCTCCACTAAAGCGAGGATTGCAAGTATTTCCTCTTAAGCGTTTCATGAGACCTAAAGGATGGAATTGGGTACGCCAGTCGCACGAGTGGGTGCTTGCCTTCAGTTGCATGCCTTACGGAAAAGATCCTCAACGCTAGGCAGCATTTGCTGCGTCACCGGCGGGACCACTCTAAAAAGCGGATTCTTTCCATTTGGTTGGGACGGAGGCAGCGGGTCATGAAGTACCTCTACAGGACAGACTTCGACCTGTATAAACTCACTTGCAGCCTTCTCCGTGAGCACCACTTCTTCCCGGCGCAAGGCACCCTACAACTGAATCACTGGGAATCCCGCAGGATCCTGCCTCGGCTGCCGCGTCCGGCGTGGCGTGCTCCTCCGGCCTTCATATAGGCATAGAGGCTGGAGATCCGAGGGTGTATGCTCTGGGAAAACCTAGAACTTAGGCTTCACTTGTTTGGGTTCGTGTCTCAGGCATAAAATGCGTGCACTTCGCCATACCGGACTCTAGGGACAGACAGCGGGTGCGGCGCTGCAGGTGTCACTCTTCTGCCTCACTTCTTCTGTTTTCTGTTTTGCTTGGTTGCATGCTGAGGCCTGCCTGCAAGGAGGCCAAACAGCATGTGACCAGCAACCGTGTGCGGTGCTGCGTCTGCTGCTGTTTGACAGGCCATAAGCCCAGTGGCCGTCGACGGAGACCGGTGCAAGTTCTTAATTCGACAGCGTCTGTGGAAGGGTGGGTCTCTGGTGCCTCTTGTGACTGTCTCCAGTATGGGGCGCACAATGCACTGTTGGGTGTTTAATTGGGCGAGCTTCCTCTGTTGCGCTTCTCAGCCGTGTGTAGTGAAGCCCTGTGGCTTTTGCCTTTGTGCTGATGTATTGGCATGGGAAGGCGGGGCCGTTCCATGAGTGGGGTTTTGGGGAACAAAGGAGCTGTGGTGCCTCGGGCAGCTTTTCGACCCGTAGAGGTTTACGAGGGTTGTGGCGGGCGCGGTAAGGCTTCGCATCCAGGGTTTGGGCTTTGGGGGATGGGTTTGGGAAATGGCATTCCCCGATAGACGTCGGAGGAGTTGTCTGCTTGTTTCAGGTCGTTACCGGCCGAGGCCGGTAAAACAAGCGGCTGGGAAGACCGTGCGGTACACACGCCATGTAATGGAGCAGCCGCCGCCGGGCTGGAATTGTGAGACTTGTTAAGCAAATGCGGGTCCAGCAACACGAGCTCCCGGGAGACGGAACCTCAAACTCGCCCCTCCGTACACATTATATTCGAATCCGTGATAAAAGTCATATGCATTTGGATCTGTGCTTTGGATGCGTTCGTGCGGTGCAGTGCCCCACGAGACCAAGCCACGAATCAGCCGGGCCTGGCCGTACGGCGTCAAGGAGGAGCGACTCAAGGGGGAGTATACAGTCCCTAACCCAACTGCAGCAGGCATTGGGTACTGCCCTGTGCCGCTCTTCTTTTGATCCTGCAGCTCTGCGCTGCAGCACCGCTGCAGGCAGCGCGTATAGAGGGTGCGTAGCACCGCGCTATCCAAGCAGAGAGGGCACCATCAGGAAGCACAAGGCCTTTTAATACACAAACAACATTAGTAAGCCAAACCCTTCCTATGGAAACGGTTTATCATCGTACGGCATGGGACCCCTCGTAGCAGAATTCCACCCCGGAAATATCTGCCCAAAGGGACGAAGAACGCGGATCAGCGCTCCTTGTTTGTGCCTTGCCTACGGATCCGCTAATTGAAGGGGCCCCTCTTCTCTTGTAGGGGAATCCCTAATGTGCAGCAGGGTTGCACCTAGCCTTCTTTAACGATACACCCTTGCGTTTGGTTGTTGTAGAGCGGTGCACATCCTTCTGCCAAGGTGCTGCATTTCATCAGTATGCCTTGGAGAAGCCTGCTCTCCCCAGTCGCAGGCTGCTGGAAAGCTGTTCAGCAGCAGCAAACTGCAGGAAGCGGGTAACTGCCGAAGGCTGTGTCTTTGCTGGGATGTGTGTGGGGGTGCAGTGTGTTTCACACTGTCGATAGTGGAGTGTTATATAATCATAATACAGCAATGTACATAGTATTGTCAGAAGTCGAAGTAAGATTATCAGCAAACACACCGCTCTTAACTGCGAAGTCGTTGCGAGAGGAACCAAGGAATTTAACATACGGTATACTTCAAATCACTCCTTCCGTAAAACCCCCCCAAATTAATTGTTTTACTAGAGTTCAAGGGGACTTAGTACACTTGTTGACGCCGCTACTCAGTTGCGTGTACCTCCCATGCTAGTAATGAAGGTGCGAGTAGCAACATTAGCTCTCCGGGTGTCTTTGGGGGGGGGGGGGGGGC